ACTGCCCCGTCCGCAATCGGCGCTCGATGCGGGCGACCGGGAGGATCAGTCCGGCCTTCTGCTCCTTCCGCAGTCGCTTCACGGGCTTTGCCGCCTTGCTCGTGCTTTTCTTGGTCTTCTGCGTTCGCATGTTTGCGTAGAAGTGGGGAGGAGTGTACAGGGTTTCGAGTTTTTATAGTCCTCGTCAAAAATCCAAAAGTCGAGAAGAGCCAATCACAAGATAAGATTTCGGTCACGTGATTATTACAGCCAATCATAATACAACTCATGTGGCGCGCGATTTCTGCAGCCAATCAGAATGCATCTTTTTGGGCGCTCTATTTTTATAGATAATCACAGCATCGTACATTTTGGCGCGGGGTTTCTACAACCAATCATTTCGTTCCTCTTTCCAAAATAATATTTCAAAACCGCTTACCGTTTAAAAATTATTAAGTTAAATTATTTAAATTATCAAATTTAATTATCTAAAAAATTATTACTTTTTACTTTACTCGACATGTATTGTCGGTATTGGTTTTCTGTTATATTATGGAAAAATATGTTTGTTTTTTTATTAATCAAATCGAAAAGTTTCTCTCAAGCTTTATTCAAATTACTCTCTACAAGTATGTAAATTAAGAGGAATATTATGCTCACAAAGATGTCATGTAATTGAACTTGAACTAAATTAATTCACGTATTAGGTTATCACATATAATGCAGGATCGGGTCATTAGGTACACATTCATATACAGAAAACTTACATATGCACAACCACACTTGCAAACACACTCACGTTCACAGTATATACACATTTATATATACATACGCACATACACATACATGTACATGTTATTATCTCAATGAATGAACAGAAATGATACAAACATTACATACGACATACAAAAATTAGGGGAGCTCTGATCTACATATTGAGTTTGCAAGTATGTTAAGATTAACCATTAATAATTCAGCGTCGCTTTCTTATCGAGTATATATATATATACATATACACATATATATATATATATATATATATATATATATATATATATATATATATATAAATATATATATATATATATATATATATATAGAGAGAGAGAGAGAGAGAGAGAGAGAGAGAGAGAGAGAGAGAGAGAGAAAGAGAGAGAGAGAGAGAGAGAGAGAGAGATAATAATAATCATTATTATTATCACACAGTCATAATAATGATGATGGTAAAAGAAATAATTCATACACATACACAAACACACAGACACATAGACACACACACACACACACACATATATATATATACTCTTTTCTCTCTCCCTCCTTTCTCTTATTTCCTCCATGCCTCCTGACTCCTCTCTCTCTTTTTTTTTCTATATGTGTGTGTGTGTGTGTGTGTGTGTGTGTGTGTGTGTGTGTGTGTGTGTGTGTGTGTGTGTGTGTGTGTGTGTGTGTGTGTGTTCCATAAATATTAATCCATATTAATGAATTCAGAAAAAAAAATAACAATAACTGATATACGATTTGATAATACAAGGAGAATGAACTCTAAGTTTCTCTTTATTCCTCACATCAGAGCAAATAAACTCAAGAGAGATTGAGTGATGATAATGTCCAAGTATGTGAGCATGTGAGATGTCAATTACTGGTTATCAATCGACTTGTGATCGAGCCAGCAGTGCGCACAGAGGCAGACGGGAAGTAGAGAAGAAGGCTGGAAAGCAACAGCGCGACATAAAACAAAGGAACTTGCGGCAGACGAAACACCTGCGCGGGGAACGTCATTTAACCTGGTAGTTGCGTTGTATATTAGTCAACAAATGAATGCAGAGAAATATTTTGACATCGAGGATGAACGCACATCTGTCTGCGCAGATGTGGTTCTAACAACTTCCGCAGATAAAAAAAAAACACACCTGAGACAGTCCGCCATTCTGACACGAGACGGGGTGTCATGTGGAAAGAGACACACCTGAGACAGAGAGAGGGCAGGCTAGGACAGGGTGCCAGATTATCGAAATTCGTCAGCTATGCGGAAAAAAACACCTGCTATCTGTTACATATGCGGCAAAACGGTGACCTCACGTGCCCGCGCTGCAGATATTTAAGGAAAACTATATTTTGGACAGTGGAGGATGAAAGTGCAATAACGGGAAAACATTAATGCGAAGGCGTTATATTTTCGTTCCTTATATGCCTACTTATACAAAATAATCTGGAAACTGCTCTTAAGTAATAAATGTTCACCAGAATTTTGTGCGAATAGGCCATTTCGAGTCGTATCGATACTAGTTCGAATCCTTAGTGAAAAGTTGGCTCGTCTTTTATCTGCTTTTCCTATTTCATAAATCAAAAACAAAATTTGACCCACTTTTACTTATTTTCTCGTTTCCTTATATTTCCAGATTCAGAATTTGGACTGATTTTCTTATTTTTCATCCTAAATGACTGAAATCGCCAAAAAATGTAAAGGTTCACTGGTCTAGAAAAATATCCCTAAATATAAACATGCTCCGTTCTATCACTCTATTATCATTTAGTGGAAGTGCTTTAAGAGAGAGAACTCAGAATTACAAATAAGTACAGGGAGAATTCCCAATCAACGTTTTCTATGATTACCACAAATAAAGTTATTTTGATTGAGTGCCACTGATAAAGAATGTTTATTTACAGATGCATTCCGGGTTAGTTCGATACTCACATTGTGTGTTCGTGAATGTGTTTATTATACTTGTAGTAACGACGGTCGTGAACGTTCACACACTCCGGTACAAGCTCTTCCATAGTTACCTTCGTTTACACGCCCATATAGACGCTTCCGCACACACATAACCAGTAAAATGCATTACAAATAATGCATTATATTTGTAATGCATTGTACTGATACAGTGAAAACTCATTCACACCACTGTTCACATTACTCTTTGATATCTTTTTTTGTCTTATCTTCTTGATTTCCCCAGTTACTTAAGTTACCTAAATTGTACCTCTCAGTTTAAATATTAAATCTGAAGGAGACAAGTGGAACGTGGAGGATCTTCCCCCAGACTTCGGAAAACTTCATTGTTTACCGGTGGAATCCTCATATTCAAGTCAAAAACATGTTACTTTTAATTCTCCTTTCCTGGACAAGTGTGTGACTGATCATTTGCCAGTCTTAATCATCTTTTTATTCCTTTAACATGGGTGTTGTTGTTGTTGTCATCAGTCCTGGTCAGTGCTTTTTCACGTATAGCATTTTTTCCAACTCATCTTTTTTTTCTTATTTGTTTCTCTTCCTTCTTTAGCACACATCCACCCACACACCCACAACCCACAGACATACACAATAGATATAACTGATATGTATATCTACATCCTTAGAAGCCAAAACAAAGAATAATAACAATAAAACGTAAATTCTTTCGATAAAGACTTTATTTGAAGCTCCAACGTGTGTTACACATTACTACATGTTACTAAACCCTGTTGACTGACTCTTTCCAACAGTGTGAACGGGAAAACTTCAATAGAAGCAAGTCCACTATATTACGAATTCGGTATTTCGTGCTCATATATAATTTAATCTACCATTTACTGCATAAATGGCACAACTTATCAACCTGCATTGTTAGTATCATATCACTATTGCAGATATGTTAGACATGCATTACATATACATTATATTTACACTGAATACATTACGCTTTGTTTTATTTACATAGATACACTTTCTTTACATACTTGAAAATCATAAGCTTAATGATCAGGAAACAGGTAAAGACAAGCTACTTAAAGGGAAATATGAAGTAAAATAACGAAAGATAATAAAGAGCAATAAAATAATCACTACATAAATGCATCAGCCTAGAAAGGCGTGAAATTAGAATCTTTATATGCTTATATATATTACATATATGTATATATATATATATATATATATATATATATATATATATATATATATATATATATATATATATGTATATATATATATATATGTATATATATATATATATATATATATATATATATATATATATATATATATATATAATGAAATACCATTTCCGAATGTGTTACGATCCTACACATTGCAAATTATGGTTAATAGAAAGAGTGTAATGGCAATACTTCTTAAATTCAAGATGCAAAAAAGAACACTAAGTTTACACGAGCAACATCTAGACTAATCTAGCAAGCTCAATTTACTATTGGTTTTCCTTAGGTTTGTCCGCCAAGGAATCTGCGGCTCGTCATCGTCTTCTACATGACACGGACTAATTATCTTGGTGACTACGGCTGGGGTGACTAAAGTTATGGTGTTGGACGCGTCTGCTGACTCTCCGTTGCTCCGCGGAGAGTCGAACGAGTCTCCGCTACTGCTGCGTGGAGAGTATTGGGATTGAGTGTCCTCCCTCTCCGTGTCCTTCTTGGTCAGGCGGGAGAGGTCTAGCGACGAGGTGGCCACTCGAATCTTCTTCACATCCTCGACTTTTGGGGTGTACAGGTTGCCTCTGTGGCGAACAAGGGGAGTGGAATTAGTGTCGTTTTTTTTCTCTTTCTCTGTTGTTTTTGGGGGTGTGGGGGGCATGGGAGTATTAGGGATGGGGGTAGGGAGGGACTCTCTTGTTTCTAAGTCTCTTAGATCAATGATTAAAAATATCTAATGTATAATGTCAACGTCGCTGAATCTGTTACGTTACAACACCCATCTAGTCTAACAACGAAAAAATAATATATATACTCATCAAGTCCACAATTCTACCAGGGAAAGGAAAACGTCTTCTACAAGTAAATACGCAAACATTCTATCACAAAAAAATATCTACCTAAGAAAACATCACTACATCTACAACTACGCAGCCCACCACTACAAATGGAAGACCAGGTGAGGAGTTCGAATTCTGTAACACACTGTCACAATGTCTTTGGTCTACCTTTGAGGAGTGAGCGTCCTCGTCCAGTCCAGTCTGAAAAGGCAGTCGTAAAAAACAGTCCACTAATGCAGTCTAGTCTACTGTCTGTTTCATGAGGATCAGGGCAAAGGTCACACACAGTCTAAATCATGCAATTTCTATTTTCACATTTTAAAATCCTTCGTGTTTGTTGAAATAAGTGATACTAATTAAATGCTTCAGGAGCCAGCGAAGAATTTCAGTTGGAAAGGAAAAATTGCTCATACTAAATTGTCATGCAAACAGTATTCTTATTCATTTTTATTTCTAAATAGATATTGAATTGATTTATGACTTTTATTTTGATTTAGGCATGCAGCTGTCAGTCATTTTTTTCTGTTGCATTTTTTTTCTCATTGAAGTACTATGGACTAAGCAAAGTTGTGTGTGTGTGTGTGTGTGTGTGTGTGTGTGTGTGTGTGTGTGTGTGTGTGTGTGTGTGTGTGTGTGTGTGTGTGTGTGTGTGTGTGTGTGTCTGTGTGTGTGTCTGTGTGTGTGTCTGTGTGTGTGTCTGTGTGTGTGTCTGTGTGTGTCTGTGTGTGTGTCTGTGTGTGTCTGTGTGTGTCCGTGTGCGTGTGTGTGTGTGCGTGTGTCTGTGTGTGCGTGTGTCTGTGTGTGCGTGTGCGTGTGCGCGCGCGCGTGTGTGTGTGTGTGTGTGTGTGTGTGTGTGTGCGTGTGTGTGTGTGTGTGTGTGTGTGTGTGTGTGTGTGTGTGTGTGTGTGTGTGTGCGTGTGTGTGTGTGTGTGTGTGTGTGTGTGTGTGTGTGTGTGTGTGTGTGTGTGTGTGTGTGTGTGTGTGTGTGTGTCTGTGTGTGTCTGTGTGTGTGTGTGTGTGTGTGTGTGTGTGTGTGTGTGTGTGTGCGTGTGTGTCTGTGTGCGTGTGTGTGTCTGTGTGCGTGTGTGTGTCTGTGTGCGTGTGTGTCTGTGTGCGTGTGTCTGTGTGCGTGTGTGTCTGTGTGCGTGTGTGTGTATCTCTGTCTGCATAATTTACTTAGTTATAACACAAACCACTTGCTAGCCACACGTATCCTTCACAAAACAATCTCTCCACGCCAGTTGAAAACAAACGAAACAAATGAAAAAAAAAGATCACACAGTGTCTGTTTCTCCAGCAAACGGCCGTCACTCACTCTATATTCTTAGTGTCTGACGTGTAGGGCGATGCGGACGGGAGACTGCGTGCGTGCTGTGATTGGCCGATCGCTGAAATAACCAATGAGGTTCCAAATAGGTCAAACAACTACAAGGTAAGGTCAGACAACTACAGGATAAGGTCAAAATACAGCCAGGCTATAATGATCACCTTTACTGGGCTTATATAATGACATTTTTTTGATGTCATGTTGATGTGAATGACTATACTTTAAATATATGTTCTATTTTCATTTAGTATTATCATTTAGAAAGATATAATTGAGAATGGTCATCATTCAGTATCAAATTAAGGAAAACAGATATTTTTTTTTCCAGCATTCTACATATAAAACTATATGACTAAAATATCATGAGGTACATATATAATAAACAAACATTATTTAGATCATTAATGTAATTAAAAACAAAGTGGGTGCGTGGAAATCAATGCCAGTTAGTTTTTTATCCATGCTCTAATCATTCTGGCTTTATGATATTAGATAAACATATATAAAAAAATAATATATAATTCCATGCAAAGCTGATATCAATCTGACATTCTGAAGCTGCATCTTTTTTTTTTAAAGCGTCATGAAAATGCAATATCAAAACAAATCTTTATCCGCATCATTAATCCAAAACAAACAACAAAAACAAATTCATATTTAGTTCTCAACATGCCATGCACATCAGTAAAGATAACACAAGCCAATGTGTGCTGATCAATACAAGAAGAGATACGCTATAACTAATAAACTAATTATTAACTGCAAGGACACATGCTCTATTCTCCGAAGCAGTTCTAGAGCTTACATCGGGTCAAAAGTCCTGGATATAAGGTCAAAATGTCAAAGGAATGTCAAAAAGCAGGTCAAACTAGGTCATGCATTTGCAGGTCCTAAGAAATATGTGCAATAGTGATGTGTGGTGAGTTTATTAATAGTATTTTTAGAAGGGTTGTAAAAAGAAGTTATATGATACAATGGTTATGTTTGTTGGTTTCACAGAAAAGAAAAAAAAAGTAAATGATAATCATGCAAATATTATCATTAATATACATACCATTAACGATATCAGAATGATAATAATAATGATCATAATGATGATGATGATGATGATGATGATGAAATTATTAATAATAATATTAATAATATTGATAATATTAATAATAATAATAATAATTATTATAATAATAATATAAATTATATTATAACACAAATAAAAGTTAACGCACATATTCCCGTTTTCTCTTATGAAGCATGCAAAAATTTCTAGCACTTTCTGGGACATGCAACAAGCGACTGCTATGGTTTGCAGTTTCAATAAAGATATGAAAAGCAACAGAACCTATGATTAAGGCTAAGCAATCATAGCAGAATTATATTAATGAATATCATAAAATGACTTACTTTTGCCCTTTGAAGTCGAAAACACGAAATGGCTAATGCAATTACTTTTATATAGATGGACATAATTATTTTATCTTTGTTATCCTTGTAACCATTAAACCACAAAATAACATGCAAGTGCTGGTTAATTTGACACAACCATCAGATTCCCAATTAGTACCTATCGCCAATAACAATGATAATAATGATAGTGATGATCATAAGCACAATCATTACTAACACCCTCATCCTCATCCTTCTCTCCTCCTCTTAAGAAAACCTTCCTTCATCCTACCGCTTGCTTTCATCCTCGCGCCTCATGAGCAGCTGCCTCTTCCACAGCGGGATGGCCTGCAGCCGCTTCTCCTCGGCCTCCTGAATGCGCTGTTCCTCCGCCTCCTTCTTGGCTCGCTCGGCTGCCTTTCGGGCCAGCATCTGCCTCTTCCACTCGGGGATGCGGTTGCCGGCGTTGTCCACGTCGGGGACCTGTGAGGGGGGGGGGGGCCCTGGTTAGGCTTGGTTGGCTCTTTTTCTTTCTTTCTTTCTTTCTTTTTTTCTTTCTCTCTTTCTTTCTTTCTCTTTCTCTAGAATACTCCTTAACTCACTAACTCCACTCACACCACACATGCGCTCCCATTCAGCCACACAGTGATAATAATAATAATGGTAAAAGAAATAATTCATACACACACACACACACACACACACACACACACACACACACACACACACACACACACACACACACACACACACACACACACACAATATATATATATATATATATATATATATATATATATATATATATATATACATATATAAATACATATATAAACACAGATAACAACGGACATGACAATGACTTCAGACCAACAGTAACTCCAACCTGATCAACGAAATTCACAGCAGAGAACTGCCGCTTGAGCTCCTCCTTCTCCATGACTCCGTTCCTCTCCTCCTCCCTGGCTCGCTCCGACTTCATCTTCTTGATTCCCGAGATGTCGACGCCCATCTTCAGCTCGGCTATGACGTCATCCTTGGCAGAGGTGAAGGTCGGCTCGGGAGCTGCAGGGGGAGGGGGAGGGTTGGTGATGCGTTTGGTAATGTGGGGGGGGTGGGGGGGAAGAGGAAGGGAAGGAGGAAGGAAAGGGTAGGGTAGGGGATAGGGGGGAGGAGGTGGGGAGGGGAAGGGGAAGGGGAAGGGGAAGGGGAAGGGGAAAGGGAAGGGAAAGAGGAAGGGGAAGGGTAGGGGGAGGAGGTGGGGAGGGGAAAGGGAAGGGGAAGAGGGACGAGAAGGGTAGGGGATAGGGGGTAGGGGTAGGGGTAGGGGTAGGGGAAGGGGGGTGTGGTAGATGAAGGGGATGGGGAATGGGAAGGGGAAGGGAAGAGAAAGGGAAGAGGTAGAGTTAAGGGAAAGAGAGTTGGAAGGGGTAGAGATAAGGGAGAGGGAAGGGGAAGGGGAAGAGAAGGGAAAGGGGAAGGGGAAGGGGAAGGGGAAGGGGAAGGGGAAGGGGAAGGGGAAGGGGAAGGGGAAGGGGAAGGGAAGGGGAAGGGGAAGAGGAAGGGAAAGGGGTAGGGACAGAGATAAGGGAAGAGAAAGGGAAAAGGATAGGGATAGAGATAAGGGAAGGGGAAGGGGAAGGGAAAACTGTATGGGGTATTGCTAGGGGCAGGGGTAAGAGAGGGATAATGGGCAGGTCGTTGATGGAGGTATAGTGCAAAATGTCCATGGCACTGGGATAAAGTGCTGGCATTAATGTGTAGGGGCGAGCATGGATGCCGCTCATGACGAACACAAAGTAGCACGAGGCAATTCATATATCCACGAAAATCACATATGTCGACCCTACTTACCATTTGTTACAGACATATGGGAATAAAAAAAATAATAATAATAAATAAAAAAAAAAAAATAATAAAAAAAAAAATAATAATAATAATAAAAAAATAAAAACGTCTTACAAGATCGCACTCTGCGGCGTGACTTACACATGGGCATCTTCAGGGGCACGTTGTTTGCTCTCGATACCTTCGTCTCCGTCTTCCTCAGCTGCACGCTCTGGAGGTCCGTCACGCTGATGGTCGGGAGCATGGTCTTACTGTTGCTGCCGTTGCTATTGCTGTTGTTGTTGCTGTTGCTGCCGGCGTTGGAGTTGCTCCTGAGGGGCATTGTGTTGGCGGGCGGCGCCGGGGGAGCAGGGGGAGGAGGGGGGGCCACGGAGACGGGCCTGGGAGCTTCCTCTTCTGTGGCCTCTGGGATGGCGGGGAGGGGGCCGGGGGGCATGGACGCGGGGGGCGATACCGTGGCGCTACTGTGGTTATCTATGGTATCATGAGACGACGACGTCGACGACGATGACGGTGACGATGCCGGCGATGATGACGACGATGACGACGACATTGTGGCTTCCGCCTGCTGTAGCGCGGCACTGGATTCGACGAAGGAGTGCTGAGATCGGACGCTGCCACTGCTGAGGCTGCCGCTGCTGCTGTGGCTGATGCTGTTGCTGTGGCTGTGCGGCATGGTGTTGCTGTGGCCGTTGGTGCCATAAATGCCATTCCCGTTGGAGCTTCCGCTGCCGCCCGTGTCCCCGAGGGAACGCAGGTACTCCGAGGGCTTGATGAGCCCTGAGCCCGAGGGCTGCGAAGGGAACCGCGGCGGAATGAAGGGCAGCGACTTCCCGTTCATGACCGGGGACTTGTTGGGCTGCGTCGACAGTCCTGGGTCCTCCTGCGTGCCCGAAAGGGCGTCCCTGTCCCTCCCAGAGGATAAGATCCTGCCGTAGTGCTCGGCCACGTCCAAGGGCAGGGACGTAGGCCTATCGAGCTTCCTGTGACCTCCTGAGGTGAAAGAAAAAGGTATTTTACAAATGTTCATGAAATTATCATTAATACATTTGTATTTCAGTGGATGATATTACCATGTCATTCGTTCTATTTGTTTCACAAATATAATAAACTACCATCTAAATTACAATTACGAAAAACATAACCGATGACATAAAATACCAACGCCACAAATAAAGCCAGCTTAAGCAAATACAAATACCGACTGAGAGCCCGCCGTACCTCTGAAGGATCCGTTCTCGCTCCTCTGCGAGTTCCTCCTGATGAACTCGGAGGGCCTCACCACGCCCTCTTCGCTGGGCCCTTCTCCGTCGTGGGCGGAGGCGCGCAGGGCGTCGTGGGCGGCCCTGGGCGACGAGGGCTTGGAGGACGGGGGCGACTGGGAGGGGGAGGAGGCGCTGGAGTGCGAGGGGCTGTCCCTCCTGCCGAAGGATCCTGTTGTCTTGTGCGAGGCCGAAGGCGAGGCCTTGGGCGAAGGGGTGGAGGGCATGGGCGGGGGAGGGGGTGGCGGAGGCTCGGAGTGCGTGCGCGTGACGGGCGCGCGGTCCTTCGAGGCCGCCGGGGGGTGGGGCGCGGACGGCGGCATCGACAGCGTAGACTGCAGCTGCCGGCGACCCGATGATGCTCGGGCTGCGGTCGCTGCGGTGCCGCTGCCGCCGTCGTCGAACTCTGCGGGAGGGAGCAAGGGCGGTTAGGGGCTGCGCCGAGGATGTGCGGGGGGGGAGGTGATGAAGCACCACCATCATCATTATTATCATCTTCGTTACCGTAATCAATGCCCTAATAATACATTTATTCATCTCTATTACTAGTGGCAGTTAATTTAAAAGTACAGTCTATAATCGAATAAAGCGTGACAATAAAAAAAAATGCAAGAACAGCTAGCAAAAATAGGATCTATATTAGAATAATGGTAAAAATAATCATAATTGCAATTTTATTGCAATTATATATATATATATATAAGTATGTATATTTGTATGTATACATATATATACATATATATAATCTATATATATACATACATATATACATATACATACATATAATATATATACAAACATATACTACGTACATACATACATAAGTATGTAAAAACAAAAATACACACACACACATTCGCTGTATATACAAACACAAACGCACGCACACATGCATCAACATACGAACTACAGCCACAAGGATGCGCAAAAGCCAATGCAACCCTCGGACCGTTACAGCGCCAGACTGACACACAACAGCTGGTCTCCACGCCCGTAAGACCCCGCGCCCACAGCAGGGGCTTTTGAGAGAGAGAGAGAGAGAGAGAGAGAGAGAGAGAGAGAGAGAGAGAGAGAGAGAGAGAGAGAGAGAGAGAGAGAGAGAGAGAGAGAGAGAGAGAGACAGAGAGACAGAGAGACAGAAAGACAGAAAGACAGAGAGAGAGAGAGAGAGAGAGAGAGAGAGAGAGAGAGAGAGAGAGAGAGAGAGAGAGAGAGAGAGAGAGAGAGAGAGAATGAGAGAGAGAGAGAGACAGAAAGACAGAGAGAGAGAGAAGAGAGAGAGAGAGAGAGACAGAGAGAGAGAGAGAGAGAGAGAGAGAGAGAGAGAGAGAGAGAGAGAGAGAGAGAGAGAGAGAGAGAGAGAGAGAGAGAGAGAGAGAGAGAGAGACAGAAAGACAGAGAGAGACAGAGAGAGACAGAGAGAGAGAGAGAGAGAGAGAGGGGGGGGGAGAGAGGGAGGGAGGGAAGGAAGGAAGGAAGGAAGGAGGGAAGGAGGGAGGAAGGGAGGGAGGGAGAGAGGGAGGGAGAGAGGAAGGGAGGGAGAAAGAGAAAGAGAAAGAGAGAGAGAAAGAGCATAAAAAGGAAATAGAAGTAAATAATGATCATGAACCCCATTTTTAAAAATAGTAATGATAATAGTAATGGCACGAACAGCAACAGTGGTGTCAATAACAACAGTAACAATAATGATAATAATAATGATGTTGATGTTGATGTTCTTAGTATTATTAGCTTTCTTGTTGTCATTATCATTATTTCTGGTATTATTATTATCATTATTATTATTGCTATTATTGTTATTATTAATTATTATTATCATTATAACCATCATTATTTTCATTACTATCATCCTCACTATCATAATTACTACTACTACTACTACTACTACTACTACTACTACTACTACTACTACTTCTATACAAGAGCATAGTAACTGAAAACAGAAACTCAGGC